CCCCCCCCCCCAGTTTGTCTTGTGAAGCTCTAATATGTCGGGGTAGATCCGCCACAACTATTATCACAATAATGTAAGTCCCCAGTAACAACATCAGAAACTTGATTCGTTCCTTGAAAAGTTGATTGAGTTCTTAAAATCAGGTGTTCTTGCACACTGGGTTTCTCACGGAAGTATACATATCGTTTTAGTAATACAAGGCTCTATTGAGTCTATATTGTTGATCCCACAGACAGTGAGGTAATGAGTCTTTTAGGAAAAGTTTCAGTCTACTACTTTTAGGTCTTAGTTTGAAATCGATATTAGGTGAAAGTTCTACCAACTACTCATACACTACTTCAATTAAATCTGATGTTAGAACTACCTAGCTTAATTGGATCGGTGATTATCAAGCTATAAAAGTGACCCCCTCTCTCTTGTGATGATTGACCCCCTCTCTTGTGATGATATAAGTGATTGTGTAGGAATAGATACTTCAAATTGCAAATGTGGCTAGTGCCAAATAGGAGCAATCATCTTCTTTACCCTCTTTTGAATGCATAGAGAACTTTGGTTAAACTGGTTCTAATTCCTTAAACCCCAATTTGAACCCATTAAAGACTATTTATTTATCTATTTGCATCTTCCTAAAGTTTACTTTTGCTTCATAACCTACAGTTCAACATGAATACTCTAATCATTTCTCCATCGCTATTCCAAATCATAATGGATCACAACAAATTTGAGCTGTTCATATGGTCAGTATGAAAAGCAAATTACGCTTTGAAGAATTCTCATCATATTGATGTTTAAAGATCAATTCTATAAGCATCCTAATATCCTCAACATCCAACTTATTCATCAAAAGAGAAAGGTAAGAAATATCTACTTACAGTGCATAAAGAAAATAACGCAAATCATCATCATAAAACAAAGCAAATTCACTAGAATTCTATTTACAAAAAGTGCAAGACAGTATTGAACACAATGCTTAGTTTTTTTTCCCCTGAGAAAAGAGAAGAAAATTTCTCCCTAAAAGATTTATAAATGCTCCCTGCAATGCTGATTATTTCCCCTTACAGATTTCTCTCCAATTCCTCTCCAATCTCTCTAAGATAGTGGAAAATACAAAACCCTAACTTTACATTAAGACTCATCTACCTTCTTGGATTTCCAAAGGCTTTCTAATGTTTAGGAGTGTTCTCTCGAATAGCCTAAATCAACCTCATAACTCCCCAAGATATACTGAAGTAAGTGCAAAAAGTTGTTGATCCCCGAGAATATAGTTGTGTAAAAATTATATAGTTGGCTATGTTATGCAACGATGCCAAAAGCTTGATGTAATATTTTATGACTAAAAAATTTAAGCAATTAATGTTGGGATTCTGCGCAAGTATACGTATCATTATCAAGTAATAAAGGACTTTCTATTTAAGCCCTAAATATCGATCCCACGAGGAAGATTTAAATTTGAAATGATAAATTTACTAAGAAATTCACAGAAAGTCAATACGAAATTACTATCACTAATTTTGAATGTTGAGATATTATCAGAACTAAATTATTTAACTAATAACAAAATTGAAATACAAAGTTTAAACAATAACCACTAAACTATTAAACTATTAAACTATGTTTATGTGATGAAGATTTCTTATGTGAAAAAACATCTTTCTCACTACAATGAGGTTTTGGTAAAATGAGATAAGATAAATGGTTCAATTATGTATTACACCAAATAGGAACAGTTTTAATTCTCTACCCTAATAGAGTGTTATAGAAAATCATTGGCTAATGGAGGATGTTGGCTCCCACTCCAGAGCTCCCACTTGATTTCACCTGAAGGCTAACTCCCGCTTTAGTTTTTAAACACTAAGACCAAATTGGGGATTTTAGTCTGTCACCCTAAAGATTCTCCAATTCTACACCCAACAAAGTATATTTTCCTATTTATTTTCACTTAA